GCAGATGGTATTGAGTTATGTTACTGGACTCTCAAATAGCCTATCATGATTCGAGTCCTGGACCCGGTGACTAGAAACTCACTCTGGGCCTGTGTGTGTATGCCCAAAAGCCTGGGAGGAGAATGGAAGAGAACAGATTGAGCCATGACCACCCCCCAACCCCGGGATGTGGGTTCTCACTTTCCATCTCATTGTCTCTGGCGAGTGGGATGTGATTTCTCACTTTCCATCTCATTGTCTCTGGCGAGCGCACGCGCCCTATAGCAAAAACCTCTCCAAAAAACAGAGAATGTGCCTCAAGTTTGAAAGATAGTTCCAAAAGTTTTCTTTTTGTTAACTATATGAAAGCAAACCATGTGTAGATGTATAGTCTTATTTTTCCTATCAAGCAGGGTGGCCTTAGAATGTATAAAACTATACAGGGTCTACTAAATATTTTCCAATATTCTAGAAAACAAGGAAGAGAATTCAAATGAACTTTGGAATGCTTAGCCATCATATCCCTTTTGGTTTCCTCAGGGCTCTCTACACTGATAAAATATGTTTAGTCCTAAAAATATTTGAGAAGTCACATGCAGCATTCTTGAAAAGGTGATAGGTAAACATCTGTCTAGAAGATAAGTTTTTCTAATTCTCTTGAGAACTGAGGATAAAATAGGGAAGGAGTAGCACAGATTGTCAGCCAGTTGACAGTTTCAGGAAGAAACTGCCTAATTAACCAAAACAAGGCAGGGCTTTGACAAATTTCACCTCAGGCAAATTTTCTGCCCACCATTTTCCAATTTCCCTTCTTGTCATTTTCCATATCCTCTTCCTCAAGCAGTCCAGTATTGTTCCTGCTTGCCAAGTGTGAATGCCAAGTTACTGCAGTAATTTTGTCATGAAGGCAGACCTTATCCAAGCAGCAATTGGATGAACTTGAGCAAAGTATATGCTCCAAGAAATACGAAACCATACCATAGTGTGAAAATCGTTTTGAAAACCCCTGGCATATTAAATTGAAATTATTCAACACACATTATCTACAGAAGAAAACAAGTGCTTAATGATGTTTCAAACACATGTTCACATATGTTTCTTTTACCTTCTCCTTGATATGGGGGTAACTGTTCCATTCGGTCATAGCATTTGTACTGTGCATCTATCATCTTCTTTCGGCCTATGACATACAGAAATGGCTCGGACTCTATGGTTGGATAGGTTTGATTTGAAGAAGCAGGAAGAACTGGGGTTGGGTGCTGCATTAAAAAGGATAATCAATTACTTACAGAGAGAAAGGATGGGTGAACTCGTAAATAAACGAAGCACCTGAAAAGTTTGAAAACATTTATTTTCCCTTCTATAAATCATACTTATTCTTAGTCTCCATGCAGGATGTTTTTGCTTTACAACTAGTTTATTTATATTTTATCTACAAGTTCTACCTACAAATTTTATTTTTGCATTAGTTCCATTCACTGCTTAAAATGGGTAACACCCACACACAATCACATACTTCCTTATCCTCTAGGCTTGTTTTAATTTTATTATCATTGTATAAAAGTAAACAAAGCAAATAACCTGATTCCTAAAAAAGACCATTATTAAGTCAACTTTGGTTTCTTTAAAACTCTTAAGAATCATGGATTATGTTATTAAAAAATAAGTGGTGCAATATACATGCTTTTTAAATAGAAATTTTTTCAGCTAAATTTTATTTGTCCTCTGATTTTGGTATGCTACAAGATACTTACTCCATTTATTCCACAGAACAAATAAAATATGTTTTCAGCCTCAATAACTGACAATAATCTCTATAAATTAGTCTCAGTAGAAGATGACTTATGTATTTATATTTTTAAATATTTAATATAATATATATTTATATTTTAAAATATTTCTCTCAGCACATTTGCATTTTTGGAATAAGTTGACATTATTTTTTTCATTTTCAGTGACTTACTATGACCATTTAGGTCTCCATTTATCAAAGTTGCTGTAGTGTGTGTGTGTGTGTGTGTATGTCTGAAAAGCTTTTTCATACTGTCCTTTCTTACTCGTGTTTATATATAAACTTCAATTTATTTTTGTGGCTATGTCTGATGTTTTTGTTTGAATCTGTCATCTTTTTATATTTATATTCTACATAAAAATTTTATTGGACAAGGCTTCAGCCTTTACTGGTTTTCCTTCTTCTATAGTTAGGAATAGTGCACTCTCTATCACACCTATTGAAACACGTATTATTTGGCCTGAAACTGACTAAATTATTCTAAGACGGAAGTTTACCTGAGTGTATTTATGGCAGAAGTAGTGTTATATACTCTTTTTTATTAGCCACAATCTCTAAAACAAAACTCGTCCCATTAAAAGTTGACCTCTATACCCCAAGCTCTTCGTGGCAGAGCCCCACCATTTTCCAGTACATGTCATTGTGTATGTCCTGGGTGACAGCATATCGCTAAATGCTAAGCTATACCATGCACAATACAATACAAATTCAGAGTGAAGAGAAAGTATGGGGTAAAAATGGTCAGGAATTGTTACAAAATACAAGGTAGATTTGAATTGGACCTTGAATGTATAGCGTGTCTTGTTAGGCAGAAGGGAGAGGAAAGCTTTCCAGACGGAAGGAAAGAAATGCATAAAAGTCTGGAAATGGTGGAAATGGTTCATGTGAGACACCAAGAGAAAACCATCCTGTCTGAAGGGGAGAATATTTGAGGGTAAGAAATGGGGTCAAGAGAGCCAGATAATGCAGTATCTCCCAGGCCCATAAAAAGAAAAAAAAGTTAAAACTTGTTCCTTTGAGCAGGTTAGATGAGAAACCTCTTTAGGTCTAAGTTTCCTCTTTCATAAAATGAGAATAGTAGTAATTTTTTTTTATTGATGCTATGTGAATTAAAAACCTAAAATGTCTGGGACATGAAAATCTCTATTATTAAAATATAAAAATAAAATGACATTTTGCAGATGTTTGACCAGTGAAGGTTGTGAAAGAACAATTTTAGTAAAATTCTCATGGCAGACGTCAGATATCCACAGCTTAGAACTGGGGAGGGTAGCCAGGGAACGGACAGCCTGTACTAGATCATCCATGATGGAACAAGAAAACGTCTCTGCACCTTCTCAAACTATGAAACCATGAAGGCAAGCTTGAATGTAAGGAATGGAGAGCAGTAAGTCAAACAGTCCACATATTTAGTTTATATAAATGGAAAAAAAATTGGTAGTTTCCTAAGAGAGGGAAGATGTTGGAAAAAGAAAACCTTGCTAGGGGAAAGAAGGTAAGTTCTGTTTTGAGTTCGTTTTGGAGATACCAGCAAGCTATCTGAGTAGAAATTACTTGTAAAGAGAAAAGGGTGAATACATATTACTATTATTATACTATTGTTATCACTCTAAACAGACACTTGTTGGGAATAAAGCGAATGCTACTCTTTAAATATTTAGGTTATTTATAATTTTAATGCCCTTGAATTTATGACAGAAGGGATCAATGAACCCACAAATATGACTTCAAATAGGCATATTTTTTAACAATCTAATTGAACAAAATTCTGTTGATATGAATTTTTCCCCACTCATTTTCAGAACAATAAGTCAGCAAATATTTATTTATCCCAGTTAGATGCTGAGAATACAGTGCTGGGTAAAAAAGTATGAATCCTGCTCTCATGGAACTTACAGTCTAGCAAGAAAGATCAATACCATGAAATATTTTCCTGACACCAGAAACTGTAAAAAATAAGAAGTCGTCAGTCATAAAACTCTCAGATATTCCACCAGAAATTGGAACATTGTTTGCGAATCTTAAAGAGTTCAAGAGATTCCATTTTAAGACTTCTTTTGTATTTTATTAGCCTACATGTCTATGAGTATGTGTGTGTTTCAGAAATTAAATATGTAAACATCAACACAAGGAAGAATCATGGTGCTAATGTCCTCACAATACAGATATTAAGGATTGGTTCAGTTTATGCATCTATTCTAGATTCTTCTTTCATAGCTCTATTTAGAATCTTCAGTTGATATTAGAATTACAATTGATAAACAATTCATTTCTGAGTCATTTTATCATATGTGATATCATATGTAAATCACACCTGTCACTTATATTAGATATTTTAGATACTCAGGACTAGTTTGCTTAAGGTGAGCTTTCTTTCAGGAAGTGACATTGTGAATTCTGTCTTTATATGGCTGACAAACAATTAAGAATTGTTCTTGTGGGGCCAGAAGGTGGTATGGTAGTTAAGGTGCTGAACTCCCACATGACCAACTGTGGTTCGAGTCCTGGACCTGGCAGTTTGCTTTCTCAATTTCTCTCTCTTGCTTTCACTCTCTCTGGTCAAATGAAAAATAATAACAATAATGATGATGAATACAATTAAATAAAATAATTAAAAAACAAATGCTCCTGCACTAGTTGGAAATTTATGAAAGCTATAGATAATAGTAAGTCTAAGATATCAAGTGGAAAACCCACACTTGTATTTTTAATCACAGATGCTTCCTGACTGATAATGAAATTATGTCCTGATAAACCCATAGTGAATGGAAAATGTAAGTCAAAAATGCATTTAATACACCTAACTTACTGAACACCATAGCTTAGTCTAGCCTATCTTACATGTGTGCAAACACTTACATTGACCTATGGTTTGGCAAAGTCATCTAACACAAAGTCTATTTTACAATGAAATGTTGACTATCTCATGTAATTTGTTGAGTATGAACTAAAAGATAAAAGCACAGTGCTTAAGTGGATACTCAATAATTTTTTTGTGTATCATTTTTATACCATCATAAAATCAAACCATCATATTCTACAGATTGTCTGTACATCTTTGTTTGATTTAAGGCAGTTTTAGCATCAATAGCAATGAAGATATGACAATCTGAATAAGAGTAGCTAGCATTCATGCCGATGATAGTAGCTTCAATCTTACCATTCTTGCAATATTGAAACAAACTCCAGTGAACTTGGTTTGGAGCCTGGTTCAGTAGAGATTGTTTCAACACTGAAGGAATGAAAAATCAAAACCTCTGTTGAGCCATAGCACTCTGAGTCTGCTTCTGGTCTAGTTCATGCTTGAGCACTGAAGATGGAATTCTCCCGGTGGTAGATGAGTGTCTCAATGACTTTCTTCCTAAAATAATATACATGTTGGGACACTGTGGTCACATATACAGATTGAGTATCCCTTATCCAAAAGGCTTGGGACCAGATATGTTTTGGATCTCATAATCTTTCAAATGTTGAAATATCGGTGTATATATAGATACTTTGTATTTAGACCCAAGTCTAAATACAAATATCACTTATGGTTTATATACACATTATATAAATCACCCAAAGGTATTTTCATATAATATTTTAAGTAAGTTTGCAAGTGAAACAGTTTGTACACACTAGGCTATCAGAAAGCAATGGCGTGTCAATGCTCAAAAAGTTTTGGATTTGGGGGGTTTCTGGAATTTCACATTTTGGGGGTTAGGAATGCCCAATCTGTATATGTAAATATAGAAAAAAATCCACATTTATACCCCACACACATAATAGATACCAATATTTAAATATAGATATATACATATTATGTGTAATATTCCAATCATGGAATTAATAATCCTTAAAAATAACACAATAAATATTTCATAAAATTTAAAAAATATACAATATTTTAACCTGATAATTCCATATAGATAGATTGTTAGTAAGGCCAAATTATTTTCAGCAATAAAGAGGCAAAATAAAACTAGTAGTGATTATATAAAACTACCAACTAATAGAAACATCTTAAAATATTCTGCCAACATAAATGTCATGTTTATACTATATTTTGGGAAGATTTAAATACATATGATTTATTTAAATGATTCTATGTTCATCTGAGGACAGAAATGAGATATTAAATGAATAATGCATTTCTGAATAAAGACCAGTGTTCAAAATTTTTCATATAAACTATATAACATGATTTTTCAACAATGCAAAACAAACAACAAACAACCTCTTAATTGTTGTCCCATGTAGCAGTTTAGCTGCCGTATATGTGATGTCACTCTAAAGGTTCAAGTAAATGGCGCCACACATACGACCACCAAGCTGCCACCAACAGCAGTAGTCAGTGGTCGAAACCTTGGTGGTTCTTTTGGTCAATAGATACTTTGCCTCCCATCTGCCAGATGCTCTAGGTTCTGGAAATTCAGCAGTGAACAGACTGCCAAGTCCCTGCCCTCATTGAGCTTACATTCTAGAAGTTTCATCCTCATTAACCATGGAGTTCCAGAAGGAAGCTATCTGATTTGAAATGTCCATTTACTTAGGCAGTTCCTAGTTTGATGGAAGCTATTTTTGCATTACAGATAATTTCTAGAACTTCAGAGACAGAACAGTTACAGAGCTGTTCCATCTGGAACTTTCAGAAATGGTCTTCGTAGTGGTTCAAGCCTAAAGAATGTGTGTACCCATACTACTGTCCTAAAGGGATATAGCTTACTATTGAATGCCATAGGCAGACCTCTAAGAAAAGATAAATCCAGAATCTACCAACTGATGTGACCAATAAAAAATCACCCTGCTTAATACTGTTAATGTAGAAAGTTCATAGAAAGTGCATATTATGAATAAAACTGCATAGATTTTGAATTTTTTTGTGCCAAAATATACTTGCCCTTAATTCCATTTTTCATTAACTTCTCAAGTCTCCTCATGTATGTTCAAATCATTGTGGTTTTCCATTGCTTACACTTATTAAAATAACAAAGAATAAAGTACATGGATATTTAAAAAAAATTCTAGCCCTGGTTCTTCCAGGTAAGATTAAGAGCTGGGTTGATGTCCTAGGTACTTTTCATGTGTATATTACATTAATAACAAAACTTCTGCATATATCATAAATTCAAAACAAGTAGGGGAACAAAATGATTCCAGAAGAGCTTGGTTTTCTATATGTTCATTGTCATCATTGTTATCAGTATAGCATTTTCTTTTGAGTGCTCATTATGTACCAACCACAGTTCTAAGCCTAGTGTACAAGGGATCTTCTAAAAGTTCATGGAGAATGTATATTATAAGAAAAGTATTCATGGATTCAGAGTTTTTGCACCAAAATAAACTTGCATTTTAATTCCATTTTCCACAACCTTTTTGAGGACCCCTAGTATCACCTCAAAGAAGGGAGAAGTAGGTGGTTAATGGAGAAGAAGCTAATGGAAACTGGTGACTCAAAATGATACCTTAAAGACCATATGAAATCAACTTGGTAGAATTAAATAAATCTATAAGATGACTTCAAAAAGTTTATTGAAAAATATAATTAAAATAAGAGTTTATTTTAGTACAAAAATGTTTGAAATCTATGCATAGTTTTTTCATAATATCCACCTCCATGAACTTTTTGAAGACAACTTCTACTGGTAGTGGTTTTTCAAAATTATGTCTTATTTAAAAAATACTTTGAGTTAATAAAGAACATCTAAATTAGATTTTCTCTGAGGAGTAGCAACGTTGAACATAGTAAATATTTTGAAGTAAATTACTGGATCAAATTTTACTTTATGAACATATCTTCCAAATCAAATATATAATCCCAATTCAGACAGGTTAAAAAAATTCTTTTTTTTAATGTACCAAAAATTATTTGTACTCTTCATAATAAAAATGTTGATTAAATAATCCTCAAATATTTTGTTGATAGTTAGCAGTGTTTTTAGTATTTATTCTAGAGTGTCTATTATAATAATATGTTTAATAAAAAATGATTTAGGAATAGCCACATTTGTACTTGATTACACAGCATCTCATTTGAGCCATGAAAAAAAAACCAGTATAAATCTGAGTAATATATACCAATATTTCTACATCTATAGAATGATACATACACCTTGTCCATTTACAGACAAATTATCCTATTAATTTCTACAATTAATTTAAGTGTTTTTATTATATTTCCAAATAACATAAAGTAACTTGCATTCTAAATACTTGATAACTTGTAGAAAATTTATTTAGATAAATATCTAGTAGAGTAAAAAATTACAGTCTGACATAATAAAACAAACTATACTCATTATCAAAATAGGTGCAAGAAGGTTGTTTTATTGTCATTTTCATAAACTATTTGATTTATAACATTTCAAAGTTAAAATTATCTTACAAATTTAAATGAACATTTTTAAACACTAATAGTTCTGCTTTGAATCATGTAAGGAGAAAGTTTAGGCAGAATCGTAAGATGTAACTATACATTTCATGAACAATGGAGATCCTGGAACTCTTGGCAAGCTTTGCTTGAGTCAATAAAATAGTTATGAGATACCGAGTGATTATACTGTTAGCTGTAATGAATTGACAAATGTTTTTCTGGTGTGGTAGAAGAATAACAAGACAACTCTAAATTGATTCATGTGAAATTTACTCTCCCTTTCATGTACTATTGAAGCTGATGTGATAGTGGGTGACACCGATAAAGAGGCATTGATGGTGTCTTCTAAGATTATTCTATTATACTTCTGCGAAATTCTTCAGATATAAAACTTATAGATTGAACATGACTTAAGAGGCTATAGAAAAAGTTATGGAATGATAATGGTATAAAATAACTTCAAAGTTCCTAGTTTTTGGTGGGAAATACAATTTGAAGTCAATCGTTAGACTGAAAGAGTTCAGATGTTTTAAAAGTATAGAACAGTCCAGAAACTATGATTTAAATCCACATGTCAAATGTCAAAAACATTTTATTCAAGAAGATCATTAACCTTCAACTTAATTTCCAAGATAAAATGAAGATATCTCAAATCAATGCACAATTTTTTTGTAAGCAAAGCTTAAGTTTCTGTATAAACCATAACCCTAATTTAAATTAGTAGAAGTTCAGAGAAATGTTTGTTAACAAATTATTAAGGAAAATAATGATTTTGGGAAACTTCCTCTTAGCTTTTAGAGAACAATGCCTACCCTTACAAATGCCAATTTAATCACACTCAAATATTCTTCCTTATTTGGCATTATTAAATAACACAGCTCAGAATATTTTTGTTTTAACCTTAAAAAAAAAAAGAATATTTTTGTTTTACTTACATTTAGGAGAACAAATAGTGCCAAGCACCGGCACGTAAGTGAAAACTTCATTTTTGATTTTCGAAGATATTTCTTTGTCCTAGGGAAAAAAAAAGAAACGAAGATTTAAATTAACATAAATCTAATATGGGTGATAACTTTTCTATGTATTTGACTTGAAGAGGACCAATATTCCAAGATCCCTTAAAAATACACTTAAGTGTGAAAGTATGCATGTAGTGTAAATGCAGCTGTATGCTCCATAAACCCTCCTAATTACCAGATTTTTCTCCTCTAAGGTCTCCCTGTTAAGAAATTCTCTGACCTACCTCTGCATATCGAGACTAAAATAAAGGATTTTCAAAAAATCAAAAGCACAAGTTCAATTAATATAGGTCATTAACAAAACTGCTGAAAATCACAATGGAAACAGGCACAAAGAAGTCCCTTCATGGATATGAACAAATATATCTGCCATCTGTGAGGGATTAGTCATATTCTCTAGTTAACTCTAAAATAGTCTTATTTAGCGCCTTAAGTATTATTCTTTCCTCTAAATAATATTTTGAAGCTTCAAGTTGCCATTTTGGGCCAGCAGATGATATGATGTTTGTATCACTGGACTCCCATGTATATGACTGCAGTTTGAGTCCTAGACCTGGTGGCTTAAAACTCAAGCTGGGCATGTGTACATTCATGTCCAAAACCTTGAGAAGAGAATGGAGGAAAAAGGAAGGCAGCAAGGCCATTCCCCCTGGTGGGGTGATGTCTCACTTTCTGTCCCTGTCTCTTGTGAGTACATGTGCCCTATAGCAAAAATCTCTCTTTAAAAAGAAAGAAAATAATTTACTTATTCAGGATCAGCAGAAGCAAAATGGTTATGTCCCTGCACTCCCACATGGCCAGGCACAGTTCAAGTCCTGGATTTGGAGATAGGAGACTCCTAACAGGCGCATGTACTAGAGTGCCCAAAATGCCGAGGGGAGAATGGAGGAGAAGACTGGGGTTGGTCATGCCCTGGAGTGTGATTTATTGCTTTCTGTTTCACTCTGTCTCTCTAGTGAGCACACATGTCCTACAGTAAAAACTTCTTAACAAAACAAGACTGTATTTCTTCTACAGAAGAATTGAATATGTCACCTAACAGTTCACTATTCCTACTCAAGAGCATCACAGTCAGAGCAGGTTGCTTTGTCTCAAATACCAACAGGCTCTTGTGGCTCTGCAGATTATTTTACACACAAAATGGTGATACAGTGGTAAAAATTTATACACACACACACACACACACACACACATACACACACACATATATATATTCACCAGTGGGATTTGTGTGAATACTTTATTTCAACTAGGGTAAGTAGTTATCATTGCATCTTAAGTGGTATGATTGTCCACACTATATTCATTATATCACTTTTAGATTTTTACATACACCACTAGGTATAAGGTATTCTCTATAATGTGTGCCTAGTATACTTGCTACCCCCAAAGGAGCCAATTCAGTTCAATGACATATTGGCATAACAGGAAATTGAGAGTGTAAAGTATAATTTGGAAATGACATCTTATATGGTGATTTTTATGCATGGTTTTTGATTTATTAAAAGTCCACTTCTGATTTGTGAGCTAATGCTTTTAATCAAACATAGAACTCCATGACATTTCACCACTGTATGTTCTCCATGATACCGTAGTAGCAAATCTAAATGTATTTTTGTTCCTCACCAATTTCTTGCATTTCAAATATCAGTGACTTGCAGACTTGTCCATGAGTTGGATATCCCATGAGAAACTAGGGATTACCCTAGATTCTACCCACCTCTTCATTCCTAAAATCTAGTTACAGGAATTCGCTGATTTTATTGGCATTTGGCTTCTTTTCAAATATGTCTGCTCCTCTCTAGCACCCTAGCACAGGCCACTATCTTTTCATCAGGATCTTGACAGTAGTTTCCAGATTGGTTTCCCTGCTTCAAGTCTTGATCTTTCCAACTTATTTTCTACACTAAAATGAGTGTAATCCTTTTCTCCTCTATTAATTCCCCCTAAACTAAGTGAATGCATAAAGCTGTTAGGTAGGGACACAAAATAGGACCTTCCTGTAGTAAAGCGCACTGATATGATCATAGAGAAAAATAAAGAAGGAGATATTAAAGTTGTCTCTGAGATTTCTAGTTTAGTGAAAGAACAGATAATGAAGGTCAAACAGATAAAGAATTTGGGGCATGAATGCACACACACCTAGCATGAGTTTTAAGCCACCGGGTCCAGGTCTCAAAATATGGTCCAGTAGATAGGTGTCCAGCGATGTAACCATTATGACACCTGCTGGCTCAAAAGGCATTCAAGAGATAGAAGTAGATGGGGAAGGAACATTTAATGTGTGTCTCCTTCCTTGTTTTGGACTTTTACTTACTAATATATTTACTAGTGTAACAAAGTAGGACTTTGAAATGTGAACACATTTGTGAAAGTGACACACCATTTTCCTTAATTCGATCCTGTTTTTTTGGAAGACAATCATAGTCATACATGTAATTCTTTTTTTTTTCCTAAAGAATTATTTATTTTTCATTTTATTTATTCATTCATTTATTTTAATTTGACCAGAGAGAGACACACAGAAGGAGAGAGAGAGAGAGAGAGAGAGAAAGTGAGTAAGCAAGCTGCCAGGTCTGGAACTTGAACTGTGGTCAGCCATGTGGGAGTGTCCAGCACGTTAACCACCATGCCACCTGCTGGTCCCCCATACATGTAATTCTTAAAAGTCTTCTGCTCCTGATAGTCTTATGATTTAGCCTCTGAGATAAGCAGGATGTGTGGAACAATATAGTTGTCAGATTGAAAAGCCAGATCACTTGTTGACATAAACATTCTGCTCATTTACTCCAACATGAGAGCCAAGCATGCTGAGAAGACAGCTTCTCCATGAAGGTGACTATACGGCAGTTAGGAAGTTAATTAGCTTATACTACCTCTGCCATATATTTGATGTCATTGGATATTTTATAACACAGAAGTTGCTTGATTTGACTCAACCATATCATCAAAATGAGTAGCACCAAAGGCAGTTGGAGACTTACCACCTTAAAGGTGGACCGAGCTACACAGTCTCTTGCTGTAGGAAAGGGGAGTACCATGGATTTGAAGTTCCACACACTGTTCTTACAATTGTACTACTAACAGCTAAGGTGAATGAAAATAGTGTAAAATCATTTTTGGTGGTGAACATCTGGAAATGACAGAGAGGTTTAGACAAGAAATAAGGTGCTTTCTTTTAGTCTATTAAGTGAAGAATTTAAAAAAACTTTAATATTTTGAACTATGGTAAAAGTCTCATGATGAAATTCATAGTCGATCTTTGAGTACAAGCCTACAAGCAAAGTTCAGAAAGCTGAACTATTTTTGTCCTGGGTTAAGTGGTACATTATAGACATGTATCTTTAAAATATAAATAAAAGAAATAATAAAATAAAAGAATTCATGTTGATTTCTGATGAGAGGAAAAAGAAAATATCAGTAGAACTGGGAAAAAGAGGGAATTTATTAATATTGAAGAAAAACAAGGCAAGAAAAGTAGAATTAGAATGGAGAATGAGATAATTCAGCTCTTCTAAGATTTTTACAAGGAAGGAGAGAAAAGGATGGGGAGTTAATGAGATTGACTGCAGTGGAAAATCCAGAATGAACAATGAAGCTGATGACTTAGTTAAAGAGATGATTATTAAAAGACAGAATAAGGAGTCCACTGATGGTGTAGTGGTTATGTCACTGGACTCCCACATAGCCAACCACTGTTCAGGTCCCAGACCTGGAAGCTTGAAACTCACACGGGGCACATGTACACACCTGTCCTAGGTCCTAGGAGAAGAATGGAGGAGAAAGGATTGCGGTGTGGCCATTCCCTCCTGGGGAACAATTTCTCACTTCCCTCTCACTGACTCTGTCTCTCTCTGTCTCTGGTAAGTGCACACACCCTATGGCAGAAAAAGGAAAAGAAAAAAAAATCTCTTTTAAAAAAGCACTGAATGAAAGAATGGATAGGTTTCAAGAATCGATCTGTCTCTGGAATCTAGATAATGTGAAAGTTCAGACAGGAAGATGACTCTGAGAAAATCAAAACAAGGTTTAATTTTTCCAGATTATGCATTTGTTTATTTGCTTCTTCATGAGCTACCTACCCCACAGCAAGAATTTTATTTATACTTACAATCCTGAAACCTAGCAAAAGCTTGGGACATAATAAAGTTACAGTAATGCTGGTCGCTGGTTTAAGTAGTAATATAGGAAAGAATCGAGGGAACGTTACACTGGGAATTTTGGTAAGACAAAAAAGCATTATTGTTTTCCTAAAGAGCCCTAATTGTGGAGCCAAAATTTCTAATTTCTGCTTCTGCTTTTATTTCTTTAGTTTTGGGCAAAGAGCTTCACCTTCATGCCAGTTCCTTACCTATAGAATGGCTACTTAGCCTTACCTATCTTAAACAGGAGAAGAACACGTTCCTTATGGGAAGGATATTGTTCCCCCTGGGTCTGTCTGTAATTTATTTACATAGAGGAGTGGTTCCAAATTATCTCCAACTTTTTTTTTTTTTCGTTAAACAAAAGCTCCTGTGGGAGCCCCATATGTAAACCAGATCAATGTGGAGCCTGAAAACCAGATTGTAAAGCCTAGATTATTTACAAGCGAAATGAGGAAACCATCATGAGGTTCGATTCCGGGTGAGACAATGAGTCTGCTCTGCTCTGTGTCAACAAACGGGCATGTGCCAATAAGCCCTCTCAACCAAATTGTATCTCTAGGTTACAAATCGACTGATCTGTGGGAACAATTCCTTCCGTGAATAAGTAGAGCATAATTCACTAATTCAGTGATAATCATTGAAAAGAATAGTGTTTCTGGAAGGGGAATGGATTTTCTTAAAGTTACATTATCTTATTTATTTTTGTGTGGAAAGAATATAAAATGTCAGTGTCTGAAAATAATGTGCCTATTCTCATAGATCAGCATTTCCAAAACTGTGTTCCACACAAGAGGAGCAATCCCATGAGAAGAAGCATAAAATAAAGTTTCCATGGCCAAATAAGTT